CGGTAACAACTGAGCGCAAAAAAAAAAAAAAAAAAGATCAACCAACTGACTGTTCTTATCTTCTCTGTGTTTCCCAGGGAAGCTTTTATTTAAAAAAAAATTAACACATTTATTTCCTATCTTTCTTCTTATTACAAAGCCTATGCTATCTATACACTACTAAACTCTTGTGTCTCTGATTGTTTGTAACCTTCAATTGGGCAAAACGGTGCATCACAGGGCAACAATTTTTCAACCAAGGTACCTCAAATGGGCTAACATATGGAATGTGTCCAAAATCCGAGATCCATTACTCCCATGGAATTGAAATTTGGGAAAGTTGTTGCCGCTTCAGCACTACCGCGCTGCTGCTTCAGCACCATTGCCTCCACACTGTTGTGGTCAGCCACAGTCATGTGATCCTCCTTTCCAAAAGTTAATGGGGAAGCTGGCAGGAAGTCTAAACTCAATCATGGGAGGCTGTGCGGGTGGGGGAGACGGACGGACGGACGGTTTCTGACGCTCCCTGCCTGCTTCCCACAAGGAAAGTCTGGGGAAGCTGGCAGGAAGTTGGAAGTCGCTCTCAGTCCCATGGCATTTTTTGCCTGCCCATGGTCATTCTGTTTCTCTGTTTAGGTAAGGAAATATCTCTGAAACAATGACCCAGTGGGTCATGGGTTGAAGCTGGCAGGAAGTTGGAAGTCGCTCTCAGTCCCATGGCATTTTTTGCCTGCCCATGGTCATTCTGTTTCTCTGTTTAGGTAAGGAAATATCTCTGAAACAATGACCCAGTGGGTCATGGGTTGTCTAGTCTTACACTAGTCTAGTCTACTCCTATGTGTATTGTTTATTGTTAAAGAGTCTATTCTTCTTTGTTGCTTGAGCTTACACCAAAGTCTTCAGGCACCATGTAGCCACCTTCAAGCTGGCTTCTGTTCTGCTGTGAGCTGCTGATCTAACGTAGCAAAAACCAAGATAGTTTTGTCTTGCAGGGAAAATGGAGGGAACGGTTGCAAGGTGTCTGTAAATGGTACCTAACTACAGTAGACTAGATGGATTTTTGTACCTTGGTAGAATGTTTACTAACAATGGGGAAATTGCAAAAAGCACAGATACTGGAAGAAAGGTATTGGGTTGGGAGGAATGAATGTTTGTCAAGAGAAGCAAAAATGATGGTAGAAGAATACATCTGTCCATTTTGTTATATGGAAGTGAGAGCTGGGTATGTCAGGAGAAATGTAACAGTAGTTAAATGCAAGGGTGTGTAAGAAAAGATAATATCAAGAATATGTGGATGCCCAACACAGAAGCAAGTAACAAGTTTGCTGAGGAGTTTGCTATTCACTCTGAGGAGTGAATAGGACCATGTGCGAAGCAAGGGGTTGAGAGGAGGGGAAGACTGAGAAAGCTGTGGTTGTTTGGAGTTGATAAGTTTTGGAAAGAGAGATGAGAAGTTGAAAGAATAAAAGGTAAGGTAGGAAGTCGGGCACAGTCTGGGGAAAGCAAGGCAGCTTTGCCAGAATAGAAACATTTGGAGATTTACAGTAAACAGTGCCGGAATACACTCGTCTTCGCTAGTTTCCTTTCTTTCGCTCGTGCCTTTATTTCCTTCCAATTCTTTCCTCCTCTTCTGCGCTCTGCCCAAGCCCGCTCGCCCCACACGGGAGCAGCAGCGGGATGCGAGGACGTGGGCGTGGGTTCCTTCTCTTGGCCAGCGAAGACGCTGAACCTGAACCAGCAGGCTGGACACGCCCGG